TTCTTATTAATTTATTTGTTGTTGTTGTTCAGTCACTAAGTCATGTCCAACTCCTTGCATCCCCATGGACTGCAGCATGCCAGACTTCCCTGTCCTTCACTGTCTCCTTGAGTTTGCTCAGATTCATGTTTTTATTGATTTTTAAGAACTCTTTATATATTGTATTGTGTTGAGAATACCAAGCATTTATCTGTCATATAAGTTTCAAACATTTCTCCCAGTTTGTTCTTTGCATTTTAACTTAGTTTATGGTGATTTTTTTGGTCCGATGGCATTTTCTATATTTTCATTTTAATGTAGCCAAATCTGACAGTTTTTTCTTTTTGACTTGTGACTTTAATATATATTTTAAAATCACTCAGTTTTGTACTGTTGTCTTATAGTTGTTTCTTTTTACATAGATACTCTAGCTGAGATCTATTTCTGAAATACTGTAAGGTGGTGATTTAGATTTTTTTTTTCCCAAAAGGTACTTAATTAAAATGAAAACTTAGGAATATTTCTCAACCTGCTCCTTGAACCATAGGTATTTCTTCTAACTAGTAGCAATAAAAACAATAAAAACTAATGTTTTTATCAGGATTTGCAACTTACAAAGCTTGTTTACATACTTTATCAGTTGGGACTCTTTCTGTTTCAGGTAAAAGAAGCCTAACTCAAACTGGCCTAAATAAAAGGTTCAGTGACTCACCGACCCTAAGCCTAAGCCTAAGCCTAACCCTAACTTAACTGAAAAAACTAGACATCATCTGGGTTTTGCATGTGGCTGGATTTGGAAGGTCAGTAACCTCACCCTCCTCCTGCCTCATCCTCAGGATGACACTTGTTAGGGTCGTAAGATGATGTCTAGCAATTTCCAGGAATTACCTGCTGTCTTGTCCACATCCAGGGCAGACAGAGAGTGTTCTTTTGATTGCTCTCAGGAGAGTGGGGGATTTTCTTTCCCAGATCCCGCAGTAAATGTCTTCTTGCCTTTTCCAGCCATGGTGTCCAGGAAAATGATAAATGACCTCTTCTGATTCAGTCAGTCAAAGCCTCCTCTAGCACAGGGGTGGGGCTGGAGGGAGGCAGCTGCTACACATTCAGGTGTCCAGGAATGGGGACTGTCCAGCCAAGAAAAAATTAGGGTTGTGTCACTGAGAGGCCAGTAATTTGAACATTCTTTAACATTGCCTTTCTTTGGGACTGGAATGAAAACTGACCTTTTCCAGTCCTGTGGCTACTGCTGAGTTTTCCAAATTTGCTTGCTCCTTGGAAGATAAGCTATGACAAACCTAGGCCACCTATTAAAAACCAGAGACATTACTTTGCTGACAAAGGTCTGTATAGTCAAAACTATGGTTTCTCCAGTAGTCGTGTATGGATGTGAGTTGGACCATAAAGAAGACTGAGCACCGAAGAATTGATGCTTTCAAATTGTGGTGCTGGAGAAGACTCTTGAGACACCCTTGAACAGCAAGAAGATCAAACCAGTTAATCCGAAATGAAATTAACCCTGAATGTTCATCGGAAGGACTGATGCTGAAGCTGAAGCTCCAACATTTTGCCCTCCTGATACGAAGAGCTGACTCATTGGAGAAGCCCCTGATGCTGGGAGGGATTGGGGGCAGGAGGAGAAGGGGCGGCAGAGGATGAGATGGTTGGATGGCATCACCGACTCGATGGACATGAGTTTGAGCAGCTCTGGGAGACGGTGACGGACAGGGAAGCCTGGTGTGCTGCAGTCCATGGGGTCACACAGTCAGACACGATTTAGTGATTGAACAACAACAATTTATTTTTAAAAATTGAAGTGTAGCTGATTTACAGCGTTAATTTCTACTGTGCAGCCAAGTCACTCAGTTATACATGGACACACACAGTCTTTTTTTCATATTCTTTTCATCATGGTTTATCCCAGGACACTGACTGTAGCTCCCTGGGCTATAACAGCAGGGCCTTGTTTTGCTTTTCCGTCAACAGTGTTACTTGAGGGCGAGGGTATGAGATGCAGGGGGCGGGGGCAGGGCCGACCTCTAAACACGACCACAGCCTGCTTGCCCATGTGTCAGAGTCTGGAGCCCTCGTCTTGGGTTCAGTGTTACGACCCCCCTGTGGGGTACCGCCCCTGGAGTCCCTAGGGCCCCGCCGCCACCTTGGCTGGGACGCCGCCAGCCCGGCCCTGGGAGCCTGCAGCTTTTCAGATGAGATCACCACCGTCTGACCCCGGGAGCAGGGCTCTGGGCCAGGACGCTCCAAATTAAGCCAGATGCTGTGCTTTTCCTCAAGGCAGGAGTACGTGTGTTCCAGCTTTGCAGGAGAAAAACCACTCAGGCTTCAGGTTTGGATGGCGCTTGGCCCCTTCCTCCTATAAGTGCGAATGTCTGCGGAGCTGGGAGGGGAGCCCGAGCCGAAGGATCCAGCTGACACGGTTCCTGAGTGTGTCGGGGGAAAGGCGCAGGAAGCCGGGGCTGCAGCCAGGCCTGTGACATCATTGCCTCGGCATCCTGTCCAGTCCTGGAAAAATGCAGCCAGCACCGCCCGGAGGAGCTGAGACGCGGGAGACAGAAGCTATGTGGCTGCTCGGCCAAGTCCTGGGAGCAAGGAGCCGGGCTTTGGAGGTCTTATCCTTCAGAGCGAGGGAAGGGTGAAACGCTGGTATGTGGACGGCCGCCAAGAACTCAAGGAGAGACGAGAGAAGAAACAAAATGCTTCAGTTGAAACGCCAGTGGAAAAACACTTCTCAGAAACAAACGCCGAGAAGCACAATGTGCTCTTATTGAGCCTGGGTTTTTTTTCTTTTTAAAAAAACGGTTTTGGAAAAATGATCTTCTGATGTTTATAAAGTTGCTCCTGAACGAGGGTCACTCCGGGGCAGTTGGGAACTCACGGCCTGAGCACTTGCATTCCCCAGACATAGTGAGGAGGGAAGGTGAGTGTGCGGGAGTTGGTGGCGGGAGGAAGAAGAGGAAGAGAAGGGATTTTCACCTCCTTTGGTGGTGGAGGAGAGCGCATTCAGGGTTCCCACACGCCCACTCGGTGAGCACATCTAAGGCTCCTACCATCTGGTCCACAAAGGGGAAGTATTTTACCCTCACAGAAAAGGTTTGAGCCCCAGGCCTAAAGCAAGAGAGCTGCCAGGGAGGGGGTCCTTTCTGGTCTCCAAGATCCGGACCCCAGAGCCCCCTCCTGCCACCTGCCTAAATGATGCATCGGCCGGGCCGGCTCTGTTCTCGGTTTTCCCACAGTCTTTGCTGGCCGCACAGCCAGACTGCACCCTGCCTTTGCCCTGCAGCTCCCGCTGGGATGTGTCTCCCTTCTCTGAGCTCTGTGAGGGCAGGCCAGGCTCGATTATCTGCATTCTCAGTACCTGTGATAGAATAGGTGCTCAATCAATGGCTTTCAGTTAATAAGTGCATAGACCATGGCTTACATTTTTAAATTAACAGAGGAGTTGAGGCCTGTATCCCATGCAGACAGAACCTCTGTCCAGCAGGAGAGGACCCAGACATGACAGTTTCTGGGCAGCTACAAACGCAGCCCAGCTTCAAGCCAACATTCTTTCACTATGTAGTCCCCATTTATTTAAGGGCTTCCCAGGTGGCTCAGTGATAAAGAATCTTCCTGTCAATGTAGGAGAGGCAAGAGATGTGGGTTCGATCCCTGGTTTGGGAAGATCCCCTGGAGGAGGGCATGGCAACCCACTCCAGTATTCTTGCCTGGAGAATCCCATGGACAGGGGAGCCTGGCGTCTACAGTCCATGGGGCTGCAGAGAGTCAGACACAACTGCGTGCACGTGCGTGCGCACACACACAAACATACCACATTTATTTAGCAAGAAGAAATAACTTGTGGTGGAAACTGTATCTATCTTCCCACTTGGTTTATTAGAGACATTGAACACAGCATAGCATCTGAACTGTGTTTGGAGTTACCGTCTTTCATTTCATTTTTTCCATCATTTGCGACTGGATTACAATGAGTCATTCACATACACAGAAAATTGAAATAACACAGAGCCTTATTCAAAATGGATTTTAAATTTATTTTTCCTGGCTTTCATTACCCCCCCAAGAAAACATTTTCCATTTTTCTGGGATCTTTATTATCTTTTGGGTTTTCTTTTGCAATTTTCTGAACACAGTTTCTTGTTTACACACTAAACAGTCTGAAATTTACACAATGAGACAAACCCCTCAGTCCCAGGAAACACCCTCCTTGGCGTGTTCTTTGGGGTCAGAACCTCAGCTGACAGTGAATCCGCCTCAGCTGACGGACACCAGTGGCTGCACCTTCAGCGTTCTCTCAGCTGGGAAATACGAGCTGAGCCAAGGGGTCTCCGCTCCCTCTCCACTGGGGGAGTAAGCCACGCAGGTGGAGAGGACCAGTTTCTATGGAGTCATTTATCTAAAGAGGCTTCCATAAGCGCCTGCATTAACAAGGCCTGAGCACCTGGAGAGCCTGGGCCCTGAGAAGGTGCAAGGTGCCTGGTGTTTTGTGGGTTAATTCCCCCACCTGAGCCCTCCACTCACATCCATCAACATCCAGACTTATGGTGACTGATGGCCATGAAATAATGACAGTAGCGACAGCTCCCCCACGCCCAGGCAGGCGTGTTTGCTGCACGGCTGGCTCCCAGGGAGCAGGAAGCGAGGTCCGACAGGCAACCCACCAGGTTCAAGAAACAGGCGCTCGGTGAACAGCGGGGACTGAATGAATTTGCCGACACATCGCTCTGGATAAAACTCCCTCTGTGTCCTTTTATTGAGTCCTCACCACTATGAAGAGCACCGCTGTGTCCATTTGACAGGTGAGAAAACTGAGGCCCAGAGGCAGATTTATCCACCTACGTGCAGCCGATCTGAGCTCGGGCCTGTTGGACCTTGGGATGTGCTCTTTCCACATCCTGCGTGGTCACTGGGGACTCGGAACTGATTCTATCAGAAAACCTGGCAAGGCACAGAGAACTCCCACTGGAGTATCTGCTTCCCATAGACTGCTAACCCCCGGGGGCAGAGGTTCAGGGCTGTTTGCAGGGCAGCAGGGCCTTCTGTGCTGCCAGCTGCAGATGAAGCCCAGCAGAGCCGCGGCTTGTCACCGCCCCGGAGCGAAGCTTTATCTGACTCCGTGTGGGAGGGTTTTGTGAGGCAGAGGGGTCAAGTGCAGGACTGCAGGAGGGCTCTCGAGCGCTCTCACCGGAAACGCTGGTTTTGTAATGGATGGGCCTCACTTGGGGCTCCGCCTGCAGGCTGGAAGCGCTGTGCCCCGTCTGTAGAGTGGTCCTGCCTCTGGGCATGTATTCTGGGCGTGTTGTCCACATCACAGCTTTTTCATGTGTGTATGCGCGTGTGTCTGCACTGGTGATGGAAGGGTTCATGCCTGTGACCTGCCCCAGCAGCTGAGCCTGGGGCAGAATCCCCGGGGGAGGGGGAGGCAGGGCTGGCTGATCGGGGACTCCCAGACCCGCTCCAGACCTGGTGACTCAGGGCCTCTGGGCTGGGTCCCCGGAATGTTTAACCTGTTTCCTAGGCCAGCCGTCACCAACCTTTGAGGCACCGGTGCCTAATTTCATGGAAGAGAGTTTTTCCACGGATTGCGGCAGAGGGCGTGTTTCAGGAAGACTGAAGCACATCTACTGTGCACCTTGTTTCCAGTCTAAAGCCTCCACTGCTCCCACAGGAGGCACCAGCTCACGGCCCAGAGGGCGGGGACCCCTGTCCTAGCTACACTCGAAGATGAGAACTCTGTTGGAGGGATTGGGCAAAAAGACGGATGTCCACTTTCTGCTTTTAGACGTGTGCAGTGTTGGGTAATTTTGTAATGTGAGAAGCACGGGTTTGGGAGAAGAAAGGAAAGAAGGGACAACAGGATGCAGGCGGCAGAGTGCGGGGTGGAGCTCGGAGAGAGGCGCCCAGGCTCCCAGACTCTGGGCAGGGCGGCGGTTCACAGCTGCTACCGCCCGGCCCCCTTCCCTGCTTTCCGTCTCTCTCCCTCTCCCTCTCACACATACCATCACCCCCAAGCAAACTCCACTACAATACCACCCTCCCCGCAAAAGACCCCAGATGACTCCGAACTAGTATCTTCAGTGTCCGGCGGCTGGAATTGTTCGTTCTGCCCGAGGGACAGACATCCCTATTTCATGACTGGTAGAGCCCATCCAAGCCTTCCGTACTTTTGCAAAGCTGCCTTCTTATCACACACAGATAAACCACCATCTTCCGTCTCCCAGCTTCCAGTTCACGTTGGGGGGGGTTGGGTTTGTTTTTTTTTTAGTGATTTTCTTTCACATTAAAAGTGCAGAGAAAGTCCATTCCAAGGAGGACCTTCAATTCTAAAATCTAAAATCTCCAGTTTTTCACTCTTGGTGTCTTTGAGGTGCTGGCCCCCGGGCAAGTCCTGGCAGGTGTCAGTCGTACCTGATTCAAGGGCAAGGCCGTGCAAAGGGCCTGTGCTCACCAGAGGGGGCCTTCCAGCCTGGACAGCAGACGCTGGCAAACACTGACCCAAGCCCTCGGCCCCCTTGAGTCCTCAGCCCTGGTCCTGCAGGCCTCCTGCCCTCTGCTTGTGAATAAGGTCCCCTGGTGACCGGGTCTCTCCCCAAACTGGGCACTTGACTTAAGTTGTCTCAGACTGGCCTGCCAGCCCACAAGGTGGCCTGACATTCACTGCTTGGGGAAGGGGTTGGTGAGAGCCAGCCGGGTCCTCAGCTGCTGGCACAGCCTGACCTCACAGCAGCCCTCGGCCCGGCTCCAACCACGCCGAAGGAAGGGGTGAGCGGGGCTCCGTCATGGGAGGCAGGTGAGGTCTTCATCGGGTGGGAGAGCCGGCCACGGGGTGGAACGGCCATAGACGGTCAGTTCACACGGGGCGTCCTCGACCCGCGCTGCAAGTTCGAATCACTGAGGACTGCCAGAACAGTCCATCCCAGGCTCCACCCAGACAAGGAGGCCAGAGTTTTTGGAGCTTTCTGTGCCGTTCTGCAGAGGCTCCCTGTGCAGAACCAGTGCGGAGACCACTGCTCCCCTGCTGACCCCCACAGCTGGCTGTGGCCCCGCAGTCCTGGGTCACCTTGGTGGTCAGGAAGCCCCAGCCCGGACTCCCCAGTAGGAACCTGGATTTTTGACCCCGGGGTGGTTTGCTTGTCCACTAAAGTCCCAGAACCTCAGCTTTGGATGACTACCCTCGAGATGCCCCAGCGCCTGAGGGTCTTAGCAGATACCCACCCCCCTGTCTGCAGGCCTGGGGAGGGGTCGCCTTCTGCCCCCATCAGCAACACCTCGGGAACATAGGTCACAGACTGAAGGCGGCAATCTGAGTGAACTCGTCCACACTGGCAGCAGCATCTCGGTTCTGTGCGGTTTTGGAAAATAGATCACTGCTGAGATAACGGTAATGGGTTGTTTTCTTACAACTCCATGATCTTTCTCATGAAACAGAACTACCCTGTGACTTAGAGGCTTAAAATAGCAACTGTTGATTTGTTTCAATAACAATGATTTATTGCTCAAATAAATATTTGTTTGTTCAAATGCTATGATTTACTTGAATTTCTTGCGGTTCAGCAGTTTGGGCCAAGGTTCTTCTGCTGGTCTCGCCTGGGGTCGCTCTCATGGCTGTGCCCGCTGGTGGGTGGATGAGCTGGGGATGATCTGAGACGGACACGTGGGCCATGTGCCACACACACCAGCTGCCAGGGTTCTCCTGCACATGGCTGTGAAAGCCTCGGCAACTTACATGGTGGTGGCCGCAGCTGGAAAGCAGGAAGCGGACACTGAGAGATCTTGCCTGGCCTTGCATGTCACTTCCAGCATATTCTATTCTATCTGGTAAAGCAGGTTGCAAGGCCAGCCCAGATTCAAGGGGTGGGAAAGAAACCCACCTCTGATGGAAGGAGCTGCAGAGAGTTGGCGGCTTTGTGTTCCATCCTCTCCATCTCCCCTTTTGCCACAGTTGTTTCCACCGTTCCCCCAAGCAGAGGGCACTCCCCCAGCCCAAGTCCCCTGCACCTCAGCCCACCAGGAGGGGCCCTGCCCACCCTGGGCTGCTCCTTGTTGGGGTGCATTTGGGCAGAGCCCAGACTGCCTGCACGCTGGGACCCGGGATGCTGGGCCCAGCATGAGGCCCTCAGAGCTGGGTCCTTGGGCAAGTCCCCCAGGTCAGACCTGGGAGGAAGACAGGCCAGAGACTGTCTCTGTCACCAGAGATTGTCTCTGTCTCTCCCCCTCTCTTTCTCTCTCTGCCTCTCATTTTCTTTCTGCCTTCCCCTGCTGTCTTTTCTGCACTGCAGTTTGCACCTACCACACACCATCCATCCATTTGGCTCCCAGTATCTCCTCAGCTCCTGCCCCATCCTGAGGTCCCCACATGGCCCGTGGGGAACCCCAGGATGGAGCTGAGTGGGGGCCAGCACACGTGGCTTCCCTGGTGGCTCAAAGGGTAAAGAATCTGCCTGCAATGTAGGAGACCCAGGTTTGATCCTTGTTTTAGGAGGTCTCCTAGAAAAGGGAATGGCCACCCACTCCAGTACTCTTGCCTGGAGAATCCCATGGACAGAGGAGACTGGTGGGCTATAGTCCATGGGGTCGCAAAGAGCTGGACACGACTGAGCCACTAACACGCACGTGGCAATGACAGAGTGACCTGTGGCGGACACGGGGTGTGGCCAGCCCTGGCCCAGGGCCACCAGGAGGATACGATGGGTCTGGTCCCCGTGGAGGGTGGCTGACCCAGGAGGGCAAGTGGAGAGTTGCGTGGGAATTCAGAACAGTCAGGCCCGCAGGCCCCAGGAGAGAGCTGGGGCTGGGGGCCAGGTGGGCAGGTCAGTCTCTGTCGCTGGTGAAGACGGTCCCAGGAAGGGTGGTCAGGACAGCAGGATGAGCCCAGGGGAACACCTTCCATCCTGGGGCCTCAGAGAGGGGCCGACTTCACAGGACTCAGTTCATAGAGCGGGGACTTCGGAGTAAGAACCAGGCAGGACTCGGCAGCTCAGGTCGGGGCCCAGGTTCTGAATGGGCCCAGCATCACGCTGCTCAGTCCAGAATCACTGAGCTCCTGATTTCTGACTCCTGCGGTCGCAGCCCAAGCTCAGACCTCAGGCTCAGAACCTGCAGGGGGGCTCTGGGCAGCTGTGGGTGTGGGGGCTGATGGACTGGGGTGGGCAGTTAGGCAAAGCGGGCCTCTCCCCTTACCCACCCCCGCCTGAGGCTCTGAGCGCCCCGTCGTCTTCTTGCTACGACACGTCATCTTTCCTCTGCCTCGACCCACCTGGGCTCTTCACGGGCTTCCCTCTTGAGAGTTGCTTCTTTTGCTAATAACCCCTCGGAGGCTCTGCTGTTCCCAGACTGTCCTACTCTTGTAAAAAGTTTGAGCAATTCTTTTCTACTCTGATTTTGATGGAACAGTTTAAAAACAACAGTGTAGATTGTAGATGGCAGAGACTTGGAACTGTCTCCAGGACATCTTGTAACATGAAAATTCAAGTTGCAAGGAAATATATTTATCTAGTGTGATTTCAATGCTACTGTCTCTATGTTTGCCTATGTAAGGACATATTTCTTTTTTGCCCGACATGCGTATGTATCTGGTATCTGTATATGCTGTGAAATGATCAGCACAGTAAATCTAGTTAACACTCGTCACCTTTCACAGTTACACATTTTTTTCTTGTGATGAAAACTTCTAAGATCTACGTGCCCAGCGACTTTCAAATATGTAATAAACGTGATCAGCTGCAATCACCCTGATTTGTGTCACCATTTTGGCAAGTTTTGGGGATAATCTCTGTGGCAACTTCTTCCATGAAGGCAGATTTACTCTCACAAGAATGTACCTGAATGAAGAAAAAATTCATGCATTTTCTTTCTGATGAAAGCATCCTGTGGCAGGGGTGGGGAGGGAAGGGAGCAGGTGGGAGGAGGGGGTGCCTGTGAGGTGGGGGTCTGAGGGGCAGGGGGCAGTTCTCCCCCGGAGGGTCCCACAGAACCTGAAACACCATTGTTAAAATGTCGATATGACGTCCTGAGGTGGATTAAGTTTAAATTTGTGAGGAATTATTTGGAGTTGGGAGAGCGTTTTTCCATGCAATCCTCCACCAATGATACTGTGTTTGTCAGTATTGTCAGTAGAGGATTCACTTTTTGAACAAATCCACACATCACATTCCATCCCCGAGGGCCTGGCTGGCCATGCTCTGCGGGGCGTGGGTGGGCGTCTGCCTCAGTTTCCCCACCTGTGAGCCCAGGTGTCCTGGGAGGAGTCCACAGGTTTCTGCACGTGAAGTTCTTGCAACAGCGATTGGCAGATAACTTGGTAGGTTTATTGTTATCATTGCTATTTTCAGCAAAACCACAACCCGCTCAGCCCCTCTGCTCTGAG